ACCTTATCATAAGCTATGGAATTTATAGGTCAGTGTTTAAAAGGAAATTCGAAAGTAATAATAATACAGCTGATGCCATCTATCGGCAGAAAAGAACACTATCAACTGGCTGGTCAACAGTAGCCATAAGATACAGCTTACGCCAACTGCTGACATCAAATTACACTATTAACAAACCGCCCTATAAAATACACCTGGCGCCATCTATTGCTTCTCCCAGGAACTATCAATAGCCAAACAGCAGCCCATAAGGCTGGTTGTTGTGCTCGAGTAAGAATTCTCCTGCTGGCATATGATTGGTAGAAACTCTGTGTTGACATTCACCACAACAGCCAATCACAGGAAGGGATCACCTAAAGGTTCCATCCAGTTATTAATTCATCTTTGTTTAGCACACCAGCCCTGCTTATGATATTTTGCTTCAACTTTAATCTATCTAAAAAGTGAAATGTTAATTATTTAAAAAGTGTTAATAAAGTGAATAATTTAATATTGTAGGATATAACAGGTAATAAATAAAAAATGGCCTGGCTACCAAACGTGGGACGTCATCCGTGGGGGTTGCCTCACACGAATACATGATACAATGCTTCGCCCTGTTATTTGACTAAATTATTCAGTTAGATGGAAATATTTCTGATACAAAACAGAAATTGTTGTTCTTTTGCACAACTATAAGATTGTTGTGCAAAAGGACGTATTTCTTAGTTTACATTTTATTCATTAAAGAGTGTTGGCATTCCCCATAACAACCAATCACAGGAAGGTATTTGCTGGAAGTTCTGTCTCCTTATGGACGTTGAGGGACTCCTGGTTCAACCTTGACGACGAACAGGCGTCTGGACACCTCCGTCTGGGAGCCGCTTTAGCTTTTAGCTTTGATGTTCATAGAGCTCTGAGAGGATGTGGGAGGAAGAAGGATTGGGCGGTGAAATTCTTGGAAGAGGCTCTGGATGTGGAGAGAGGTGTTTTGAAAGTTCAGTGGGCTATCCACCGCGGATTGAAGATTTTTTTTGGTCCAAGCCTGTAGCTTCAGGTCTTCTTAAGCGGCAGGAGGCTAGTGGTGGGGCGGTGGTTCATAGTGATGTCCTGGTTCATTTGAGGTGTTCTGTCTGGCTTGTAGGAGGCGTCTTCCCTATGATGTGGTTGAACCTGTTTGTTCTTTTAACTTGGGGTCGATTTTGACTGGTGGTACGATGTAATTTCGCCTGAAGTATCCGAGCTTCAGCTTTGGTATCGGAGTTCCTTCTGGGTCTTCAGCTGCAGTAGAGAAGTCAATTTGTTCCATCTTTTCTGCCCTGAAGACTGAGTCGATGTGATTTACGTTCAGGACGGAGAGGTCTATGTATCTCTCCACTGTGGAATAGTGGGAAATTACAATTTCAGTGTCTGGTGCAGATGCTTGCTGTGATACTGCTGTGATTGAGGCCTGTGTCATTGGAATGGGTGCCTGAGGTGCTGTTTCCGTTGATGTTCCGGATTTTGCTGGTGTTGGGGTTTGTTCTGGTTCCGTGGTGGTTGTTGCCGCCGTTCGGCGTTGCTAGAGTGCTGTCCATGAATGAGGACTGTCTCTCATCCTTTGTTTTTTAGATGGAGGGGCCCTGGGGTGATGTCGTTTGGTGCAGAAGAAAGCGGTAGCAAATGATAGAGATGCAGCTCTTGTAGAGAGTTTTTGCAGCTGTTTGAGGCTATATTAGGTCCGCTGGGACTGACATTTTATTTATTTATTTATATATATACAAGAAGGTACATTGGGATTGTGAGGATACATAGCATTTCGGGCAGAAACAGCGCATAAGCGCAGCGTTTCGGGCAGAAACAGAAGACATCGTAGGTAGATTGTTTGGGGCAAGCAGCATGTTCAGTACTCTCACGTATTTGGCGACTTCTGTTCCTGCAATTTTCTTCGCTACACAGATCAAGGATGGGATGAGTGGTGGCGGCCGAGGCCGCTGATTGGTTGACTGGAGAGTTAATTGGCTGGCTGGGCTGCAGTCGCCTGGGGGAGGGGGGGAGGGTCTGGCCTGGTGTGGTCGTCTGTGTAGCAGAAGCGTTGGGAAGAACTGGGAACGACGTAGCCTGAATATTGAAACTTACCGGCTGATTGGTTGTTGGGTTAGCAGTTACTGTTTTCTTGATTTCGTCAAGTCGTACTTGGCAGTCAATGGAGACGGTGGTGGGAGCTCCTCTACAATTGAGACAATATATGGTGGGTGACTGGCAGTTTTTGAAGTGATGATTTTGGGTGGAAATGCTACACTTCGCTTGTGGACAGTTCCTGGTGTCGTGGTCGTATTTGTAACACTTAAAGCATTGCCGTACGATGTAGTAACGCTCCTTCTTGACAGTGTCAGGTGTGATAGAAATATCCAGGCATCTGAATCCATTTCTACTGCTTATGTCGCTGCTGCAGCTGTTGAGAACGTAACCTTGAGGGTAGGCCGTGGGCTGTCGTCGTTCTTAATGACCTTGACTTTAACTGCAGTCAGAGCCGAGTTCCTTGTGTTGATGCTGTCAAGTATGGTGTCAGGGTCCTAGGTGTCAATGTAGACACTCGTGTGGCTGACGAAGATGGTTATTCGTTCAGCCAAGTAGCGTCTTGTTCAAGTCAGTCAGCCGCCGAATCATGTTTTGTTTTCGCGATTTTGGATTTAATACTGCCGTTTGGCATCCATTCTTGAAGTTATCTAGATGATTTCGGGGCTTCAGGTCCCCGCGGCCCGGTCCTCGACAGGGCTTCCTTTTTTTGTTACCCCCCCCCCCCCCAGGAAGCAGCCCGTAACAGCTGTCTAACTCCCAGGTACCTATTTACTGCTAGGTGAACAGGGGATTAAGAAAGTAATTAGAAACAGAGCAATGCAAAAGCTGTACAGTGACCACAATACAGCAGTTGCAACATCAGGATCTGCGGGTTGGTACAAGAATTCAACCAACTACGAACCACTTAGTTTGATGAAAGGGAGCAGTAGAACAACAGAAGTACACTTACATCGCATCAGGCTTGGATACCCATGTACATGGGAAATAGGCTTACAGGTTCCGGAAGATGAGAGGAAATGTCAGCACTGTAGAGAAATGCCCGACAGACCACTGGAACATTATCTAACATAGTGCACAGTTACAAACCCATTAAGCTCTCAACTTGGATTCAACAGAGCAGAAGTCATTTTTCGAGTAGCTGAATCTAAAACAACCTTGTAAACGCCCAGGTAAGTCCACTATGGGCTCACCATAGCCCGTGCTACTTGGAACTTTTTGTTTCAAGTAGTGAATCTTAAACAACAACTTTGTAAATCGACTTGAGAATGGTCCAGGACGGACCGAAACGTCGTCGTATCTTCACTTTCTAGTGTGTGGTCTGGTCAACAACAACCTTGTAAACCTTCAGAACATACAGCCCTTTCATTTAGCTAAGCAAGTTACAGTCTTGATGAGCTAGTTACACATTTATATGGGCATCGTCACAACAATGGGCTCTAGACCGACCACAAGTACAGTTTCTAAATTAAGCAACTAACATGTGTGGAGAGCTAGTGTCACAAGTGATATGTTTGTCCTGCACACCGCCCCCCATCCAGTGGGCAGCGGTGGATAGGCTACAATCACTTAGTTACTATCTACAGTTAAACTGAGGATATTTGACTAAGATTTCTGGTAGCAGATCATTTTAAATGAAATATTTACATATCTCTGGAACATTGGTTATAGAATTGTCTCTGAATTCATGTTTCTTATCGCACTCCATCACATAGTGACGGAGGGTGTGCGAATAATTTTGTTGACATAGTTTACATTTGGTCAGGTCTACATCAGCAGATAATGAGAATTCCCAAAGATACTTGTAACAGAGTCTAAGCCGACCAGTAGTAACATCTAGAAGTCTGCTGATTTTATTGGATGAACAATAGATGTGTGGCTCCTCTTGCATGATAGTATGACGATAGATGGAATTACTGGTGTCGATTTCACTTTGCCTCAGATCTACAAGATCTTGTTGAAGTTCTCGGTGTACTATTGCTCCCAGACTTCTTATTGACAGTCCAAGGTTATACTCAATGTCTCCTTTAAAGGCAGATTCTTTGGCTTGTAAACCAATGAGCTCACTATAACCCGTTCTTCATGGACATTTCGTTCTGTGTAGCTAAATCTAAAACAACAACAACGTTGTAAACTCAGTATGGTAGTTGTGGTGGGTGTGGGAACAGTGGAGACGGGAGTATGTATGTGTGGAGGGGGTGTTGGAGTAGAGAAGTCTCCGTGGTGTAGTGGTAAGACACTCGCCTGGCGTTCCGCGAGCGCTATGTCATGGGTTCGTATCCTGGCCGGGGAGGATTTACTGGGCGCAATTCCTTAACTGTAGCCTCTGTTTAACGCAACAGTAAAATGTGTACTTGGATGAAAAAACGATTCTTCGCGGCAGGGAATCGTATTCCAGGGACCATAGGATTAAGGACTTGCCCGAAACGCTACCCGTACTAGTGGCTCTACAAGAATGTAACAACTCTTGTATATATCTCAAAAAAAAGAAAGAAAAAAAAAGAAAAAAAAGAAAGAAAAAAAAAAAGAAAAAAAAAGAAAGAAAGATAAAACGTTAAGTTACACCCAACTTGTATCCTGAACATTATAACAAATGATTCATAACACTGGCAAGAAGGCGGATGTAACACACACAAGCCCCATTCCGCGAAGTCGGGGGAAAAAAGGCGTAAAGCACCAACAAGTTGTGCGTTATAACTTGAGTTGCACTTGTCAGTCTGAGGAAATACCAAAGTTTGTCTTTACATCGGCACTGACTGGACTTGTTATCTTATCTGTGATAGACTGGCTACACGCTAGACACGGGCCCAAATGTAAATGAACTTTGATCTGCCGTGAACTAAAGTTATAACAAACTAAAC